ACGAAGCTTAGATATCCAAGAACCAACACATACTTTACCTCCAACCGGACCGGAAGTGAGATTTTGTTAGTAATCTAAATATCCAAACATATTTTAGTATAAGGTAGTAATGACTGCCCCTGTAGTATGTTTACATCTGCGGTCGTTGACCCTTTTATCTGGCCCAGATAATAAATATCCGAATTTGGACGAAACCGCGGATAATGTTATCCCCGACGTAATTCCAATACTGGTCTGCTCCGATAAGTAAATCAATAGAAAATGATTTATCTTCTGTGACTGGATGCGCCAATGTTAGTCCCCCCAAATAATCAACATGGTGAATACATTCCGCGATGTGGTTTGTCAGTTTAGTTGATATTTCGGAGATGAACAGTACATACATATTCGAAGTATGTCCCGAAAAATCGTGTGCTGTGACACTAGCAAAGTCTAACACTCGTGAGTGATCAGTATTGTCGCCAAATGTAGAAAGAAATTCTTGTTCAGTGCGTGTAGGAGATAAGTTCAAATCGTTAGCAAACTTACGAGAGATGAATGAACAGCTTGCCCCTTCGTCGAAAAGTACATTAGCTTGTAGTGGCTGGCTATTACCTACAGATATTGGAATAATAGCAGTCTTGAGAAGTACAGGACGCAGACATGTTTTATTCGGCGAGTTCTTGTGGGTGTCGTTGAGTTTTGTCAATGTCACATGAACCGGTGAATTTGGATTATATCAGAGGTTGCAACGTCCGTCGCGGGTTGGCTTTCTTGGTGTAGTGTTGAGTGGTGTCTTCATTTACATGTTACCTGTTACCTGTTACCTATCCTCCAGATGCCTAGTGGCACATAGGGCCTCCACCGAATGTCTCCATTCTGTCCTATCAGCTGCTGCAACTCTGGCTTCCGCCCATGACTTCCATCCAGCCTTGTTTCTTTCCTTCTCTACAGTGCGTCGCCAAGTTGTTTTGGGTCTCCTCTCGGTTTTCACCCAGACGCATCCTAATCTCACTCCTGTAAGGAGGGGTCATGGCTTCCCCCAACTTGTTAGGTTCAGTAGTATTCGTTCGGCTTCTGGTTTCTGTAATAATCACTTTTTTACAGGAATGGGTTATCAGCCCATAGCTCAACCCCCAACCTGGAGGACCAGGGGACTATACTTCGTCTGGCTTCTACCTGTCGACCTTTCCGCCTTGGGTGACCCTACCAGGAGTACAAGACTCCCGACGGCATAGCTCTCCAGGTCACTGAAGCGCGCAAACACCCCCACCAACAATAAGGTGATAGTCCCATGGGAGATGCATGTACGACAGTTGAACTTAGATTTGCATTCCGATGCTTGATAAAACAGAGTTTGTCACATTTGACTATTTCCCAGCGTTTGTTTATGTCCGTTACTACGCGACATGCAGAAGTGAAGTGTGTCCCTTTACAGTAGGTGCATTTGGCGCTTGCGTTACGCATTTCGGATCGCGTTTCGTTGATCGCACACTTGTATGAAATGTAGCAGTACTGTCTGGTTGATACCGTGAATTGTTGATTGACGACTCGTCGAGCGGGTTCCCGGATCGGATCGCCGTTATTTCGCATAGCAATGCTTTACGTAGATTAGGTAAACTTCATGCTTCTCCCCGATTTCGCAAGCGATTTGCTTTCGAATGGTTGCCGGTAGTTTGTCGCAGATGATCGGAATGACGTGGTCGGCGTAAGAACTTTCCGGTTTTCCGAGTCTTTGTAGACCACGGATATGTCCTTCCAGCACATCGTAAAATCTATGCAGACTTTCGATGTCATTGGTGGGTTGTTGTAATTGCCAGAGCGAAGTCATATGTGCCTCGGTAATGAGGTGGTCACGTTCGTATTGTTCCAAGAGCAGTTCAATAGCGTGGTGGTAGTTACCATCAGTGAGAGATAGTCCAGCAATAGTCCGCACTGCCTCGCCCTTTAGCATGGTGCGTAGGTAGGTGAACTTTTGTACGTTCCTGAGAGTCCGAAATTGGTCGATTTCATGACGAAAACCGCGGAAAACTTCAGCGAAATCCCCTCGTTTGCCGCCATCTTGAATAAGTTATCGTGACGTCACAAGGTGTCAGTTTCCCCATTTCACGCAGTTTTTGTCGTGAAAACGACCAATTTTGGACAATCGCCCTCAAAATAATTGATGAAATAGTTTCGGGACCCATCGACAGTAGAAACGTAGAAACTTGAGGCGAAAATAATGAAAAAAAACACAGGTGTTACGGCCCGACCTGATTTCAGGTCGGTAAAATAGGGTAACTCGCATAGGATGGAACTGTAGCTCCCTGGTTTCGCGTTAACACCACGACGAACAAAATAACAGACAGCGAAACCAAGCGAGCTACAGAACTGCAGCTACGTTCTGTGGTGGCTGTTTTTCTGACATTGTGTTGAGCTGAGATATCCTTGTCTAGGTCACCAAATTATGTGGGGGATACAGTAATACGCTTCGGTTGAACTTGATGACAGAATAAACAGTCAAATGTGGATGCAAAAAACATGGTATGGTTTATTGCTGGATACACTGGCATAGAAACATGATAAGGAGCCCCGAAACTCCGAAACTAGCCCTTTATATAGGTGCGTATCGAACGTGAGAGAAAACACGTAAGCGGGAAATACAAAATGTAAGCACGCTGGAGAAAAAGATACAATACAGAGTAAAATGATTGGCTGAAATTAAATGATTCTAATTGGTCGAGAATTACTCAGAGGAATCTTTCATGCAAATGGTAAACGAATTAACTATAGCGAAATGACATGTAATAGCAATATAAAAACGAATACAAATATATATTATGAATCTCCAACAAAGCTTTGTTGTATTTATTTTTTACTCCATACCACCAGTGGCACTTATAGTCATGTTCTTGAGTTGGCAACTATAACTACTCATCAGAAAAACAAATGCAGGAAATGACAATGAGCATTGGAAGAAGAATTTAACTTGATGTTTGTGATAACTAATCACCAAATTAAGATAATTGTTATAATATAATAACCATATGCTATACATGATATCTATACATTAGGTATTCTAGGGAATAAAAACAAATGTATTTATGTACATGTCCTTTATCTTGCTCCACTCACACTGGCTAAACAGGTTCGCGCCGCGCCCAGGTTGGCTGGCTGGCCTGGTACTGCCACGCCCACTTTCACATTCTCAGACCAAGCTCCTTCCATCAATATTAGTTTGTGGAGAAACACTGCAGTCAAAACCTATACATTCATTGTACACGTACTTGAACACGCACAACAGAAACAGTATTTTTCTATTTTCTTATCTTATGCCACTGTCAAGCAAAGCTTACAGTATTGCTGACTGTCCGTTGCTATCAACTTCTGAATAAAATGATAAATGATATAGCTTTGAAACTTTCCAGAACATTCGATAGTTGAAGGATCTCAGGTGCTTCATTTCTTGACGATATCTTTATTTAGATATTTTTAGCAGCCCTCAAAGTTTGATTTTTTTTTCCTGTTGGCCATTGGCAGCCAAGTTTGATTTGTGGTGTCCAACTAGAAAATTTAGTAGCATAGCACAAAATTGTCATATTTGCTTATTTCATAAAGATACTTATATCAGTTTTTAGCTCCGCTGTCGACTTTGTCGAGCGGAGCTTATCATATGAGTGATTGTCCGTCGTCGTCGTCGTCCGTGTCAATGTTTTACTTTTTCGACTTCTTCTTGAAAACTACAAGCCTGAATGCTTTGATACTTGGTGTATATGTACCTTGGGTAGACCTCTCTTAGGTTTGTTCATTTCATCTTGATATCTTCAATTCTCTAATTTTGGTGAATATTTTTGTCATTTTTGGTAAAAAGTGATATTTTCGACTTCTTGTTAAAAACCGCAAGTGCAATTGCTTTGATATTATATATATAGGTACTACATGTGGACCTCTCTCAGATTTGTTCATTTTGTGATGATATCTTCAATTCTCTAATTTTGGTGAATATTTTTGTAATTTTTGGTAAAAAGTGATATTTTCGACTTCTTGTTAAAAACCAATAGTTCAATTGCTTTGATATTACATATATAGATACTACATGTAGACCTTTCTCAGATTTGTTCATTTTGTGATGACATCTTCAATTCTCTAATTTTGGTGAATATTTTTGTCATTTTTGGTAGAAAGTGATATTTTCGACTTCTTGTTAAAAACTATAAGTCTGATTGCTTTGATACTATACATATTGTTCAGTTTCTAATGATGTCTTCAGTTCTTTAATTGAAATGTGCATTGCTAACAGCGGAGCTATCTCAGCCGATAGGCTGCTTGTCTAAGAATATTTTAAATTTAACTTACAGACTGCTTATTTTAAGACTGGAAATAACACCATTAGCTGTTGAGCAACAGGCCATGGGCCTATTTTTCTAATAACTAGGGTAAAGGTGTGTGACCTGCCAAGTTTGAGTGAAATCGGCCAAGCCAAAAAAATCGCTGAAGAATTAATATGTGAAAACCCTGGAAATCACACACACAAAAGTGAATTTTAAGGGCAATCCTGGCGGAGCGGATCGCCAACAAAAACCTATGAATGGGGGAAAAACATGTGAAAACCTGTACTAAAGGGAGGATGTCGTCCATATAAAATAAGCAGGACTAAATACCTACTTTATACTTACATACCTGGTTACTTAGTTAGTAACCAATCAGAGCTCAGTGAAGGACCCCACTTGTCATTTATATATACCGGTATATATATGAATAGATATAGCAATTGTCTGCTATTCTACAAAACACAGATAATTTATCGTTGTATGGGCCGATTCCAACCGTATTCATTTCATTTGCATTGCTATGTGAACATATAGGGATTAATTCAGCAGTGCAAAAAACTTATTACTGAAAAAAAAAATATAATCTGAATCTTGACACTAATACTGATATCCAGAAACATAATTCATGGCATTTTCAACATAGGAACTTGTTCAGTTTTAGTGTTATTTCTCATTATTTTTTATGAAATGAATTTTTTTTTTTATTCACAGATTGGACAGCAAATACACTATGGTTGAAAGACTAGAGACAAGTCCAAAATAGTTTTCTCGAGAGATTTAAAGTTTCTGAAATGTGAAGAAAATCTGATTTACTTGTACATTTTAGAAGCATAATTTTTACTCTTTCTGTATAGTCTGTTCAAAATGTGCAGTTTCTAGATTTTTAAAACAGGGAAACACATGCAAATAAAATGTTTTTAGTTTTATGTTGGTGGCTGTCAATGTTAATCTATTTTGGTTGACATAAATAATTGTTGTATTCTTTTCTTACACTGTTTGATTATCACATGAATATACGTTTAACAGCTTCCTGTCCTATTTAAAACTTAATTACCGATACTACCAGGGGGGGATTGGCACGAGAGGGCGCCATCCGATCTGAATGGAACGTTTCGACGTCAGTCGTCCGTAGCCCATCGTCAAAGCAACAACGTCCCGTTTACAAACAGATCAAATAATTTCAGCAATTTCTTTACAGAATAATCCTCAACAAAACTTAGAAACATTTCATAGACAAATACAGGCTCCAAAATTATGTCTATTGCAAAACAATTCAACCGACAACCAGTTTGACACCACAATTTCTTGCTGGAGCCCGAGTTCTACGCGTGATTTTATTGCGTTCAAAAGTGTTCCATTTCAAACTGCGCATGCACACACATTGTGGTTTCTCGAAATGCATACTAATTAGGTAACTTGTCACTGATAAAAGTCACTGAAAACATTTTGAGCAATAGTACTAAAGTGAAATTTAAACGTGCCTCTGCATTATCCATGAATATCGCAACTTGCTATGATCATGGTAAAGAGAAAACCTGTGCTTACTTTCAACAGTTAGCT